TGTTCTCTCAAAGGCTCCTGGATAAACACTAAATGGCAACATAATTTTACCAGTTTGTAACATAAATATAAATATTGAGATATTTCAGTATCTCCCTTGTGCAGAATCCCTTTTTATTCATCTTTGATATTCCCACAAGAATAATCATGTTTAGCAATACCGCACTTGGTCTTCCCTGGCTCTCTAAAATCCTATCAGGAAAAGCAACAACTGAGTCAACACAAGTGGTTAATACTAGTTATTCAAATAACTGGTTTAAATCAGAAAATGCCTAAACGTACAACCCACCCATATTTTAATGTAAAATAAGAGATGATCACACTTGTCTTTAATGTAAGGCCAAGGACCCTTTAATTGAGGGCCCCATTTAGAGTTCTGCATCACCTTTTCTTCCATAAACTTCACTCATGTTTCATCTTTGGTTGAATTAAAAACTGCTAGTAAAAAAGAAAAAATCAACATAGAAAGAATCCTGTATTTATGATCTTTTCTCCAACTAATTCAAGAATAAATTTTAATGACTGTTTCTTAAGTCATCGCCTATGGACTCAATTTTCATACTTTACTGATTTATGTAGGATTTAAATAAATTACAATAACAAATACAGTTGACAGAAACATATTTGGTACCAAACACGATCACTTTTTGTTTTCTTATTGGTACTGGGGATCAAACTCACAACCGTGCGCTTGCAAGGCAGGCGCTTATGCTGCTGAGCTAAATCTCCAGCCCCAACACAATCACTTCTTAAAGCACATTGACCAACTGATGGGAGCCTCCAGGCACACTAGAGAATACCCTAACGACACGGGAGTTTGAGAATATGCTTTGTGAAAGGAACGTGGAGGACCCTAATGAGTCAGTCTATGGAAGCTGGCTCAGGAAGCTTCTACCCTCCATCTTCTTCCCTCATTTTAAGACTGTTCAGTGATCTGCATCCCTGTTACCCACATTTACCTGTATTTCCTACTCTCTTAATCAAAAGCCCTCCTTTCAGTCACATACACACTACCCTTTGTGCTTTTACCAAGCTTATCTTATTCATCTGAAATGCTCTTAGGGTGGGGGGCTGCCTGCAGAAATTTTACCATTCCGCAGGCCCGGGATAAAGATTTTCCATGACTAGCTAGGAGTGGTGACACCCACTGTAATCCTGTTGCTGGGGAGGCTAAGGGAGAAAGATCATTCGAGCCCAGGAGTTATGAGACTAGGCAGGCCAACACAGGGAGACTGTTTCTCCAAACAAAAAGCAAAGAAAGAAAAGATTTTTCATAATTAGCCTAAAAGTTTCATTGCCTTTCTGTCCTGTGAGCTTGTATTACTTACAGTTTTCACTATTCAATTAATCCCTTTATTATACTATAATCCTTCATTATCCCCTTTTTCCTGCTTTGGTTTTCCCCTCTGTGCTGGATTATTCTATTAGCACACAAATATGTTCTTATCTTTTTAAAATTACTAAAAAATATGTAGTGCAAACTAATAAAAATCAATTTTAGAAAGGACAAAAGCCACCAACTCGGTATCACACTGCTCTTTCTCCCTCTCCCCTTGACACACACACTGGGAACAGCAGCCTTTCTTGCTGCTCCACATCTCCCAATCTGGTGATTTCTTCCTCATCCTTTGACTTAAACTTCTCAGTGCCATTTGACACATGAGGGCTTCCTCTTTCTAGAAATTTCCTCTTTGGCCTTCTAAGACATCACTTTTCTAATTTTTCTTCTACCCACTAGCTGGCAATCTCAGTTTCCTGACTCCAATATACCTCTTAATATCAAAATTTTTCAGGGATCAATCTAATTTTTCTCTCCTCTTCAGTAAGAAGTTTGCAAAAGAGAAAGAACTAAATCCTAAGGGATGCTTAGAAACTTCTAGCAATATGCGGGAGATGGGGTAGTAACAGTGTTTCATGAGAAAGGGTCAGACACTAGGTTTCCTGCAATACCAAGAGACCCAGAAATGAAGATTTACCCCACGTCAAGACTTTCCAACATCCCTCAGATAGTTGTATGAATACACAATCTACCAAGAACCTGATTTTTACATATCAAAGTTTACTGACACAGTTGCAGCATACACAAGCGTCAAGAACCTCAGCCATCATAAATTAAGAGACAACTTTTTCCGTAAGTTGACTAGTTTAGAAACTCAGATCACCATGGCAATGAAGATTTCCTAACAAGCCAAAACTACACAAATGTCTCACCCTGCGTAAAGCAATCATAGTCGTGTGATTTCACACACAGGTAAGGAACTCTGTAGCCCACGTCCAGGCGTTATTTTTTCTTCATGCACACTTCTCAGTATCCAGCATACTGTATCTTTTAAGAATCTTGTTTATGAACTTGAAAAAGATATATTTCATGGTTAACAAAATTATTGCTTCATTCACTGCTATGTCTCCGGCATCCACTATAGTCAACATGACACAAGGACTCAATAAATATTCATCAACTCAATCTGAGTATTTAAGTTTTCTACTATGGGCATATACAAGCACGTCTATATTGAGATAATAACACAGACTATGTTATGGTTACAGCATTGCATTGATTTATTTTATTGTAAGTGTAGGGCAGTTATGTTAGCTAGGAATAACATGTCAGGATAGTTAGGGGTATATTTCAAAATATGTCCTATAAAAGGGTCACTGGGTCTCACAACGTAGAGAAACACCAGCCTACGTGAGCTCACATTTAACTCAAACTTATCATTTGACTCCAATCACAAATCCAGTTGCTTCCCTGACCATTCCAAATAAAGGTCGTAAGGACACCTAAACGCTAACATGCCCAAACGGAAACTGATTGTGACTCTGCCTCAATCTCCATCATCTCTGTGGTGTCTCAGAAAATTACTCCACCGACTCCAGAAAGCTAGGAATCGTTCTTGAGCCTTCCTTCCCTGACCCCTAATTCCAAAGTACCATCAAATCCTCTACTCTACTCTCAGAACAAATCTGGAATTCACCCCCTTCTGTTCGTTACAAAACATCGCTTTGGGCTTTACCACCTGTCATTAACTGAATCCCTTAACTACAACCTGCTGCCACTTTCCCCTTCAGTCCATTCTTCACACAGCAATTAAAGTGTTCATGTAACAACTGCTTCCCACAGAATGGAGACAAAATTTCAATTCTTAACCATGGCTTGTTAAGTCCTATACAACTAGTTACTTGACTAATTTGTCAAACTTACCTCACATGGCCTATCTCCCTTCACTTCCCAAACACACCTGTCTCCTGGGATGCTCCCTCTGTTAGATCTGCTCCTCCAGCTCCCCTTCTGCTCCCTGGCCCTCCCTCCCCAGGGCCACTACCACAAACTAACACACTCCTGGGGCAGCCAGCTCCTTACACAACAGCTCTTTGCTTGGTTGAAACCCAACCAGCTCATTCAACATAAGGTAGATGTTTGCTGTTACCCTCTTCCTTTTGTTTTCTTTCTGGGCACCTATCATAGCTAGTAATTGGAGCCTGGCAAATAGCAGACTTTAATAACTATTTATTAAAAGAAGGAATTAATGAGTCACCCTTGAACCCACCCTTCCCTCATCAGCAAAATCCACTTGATTATAGTGCCTGACTATTTTAACCTGAGAAAGATTCCTCAAACATTTTCTAATCTATTGCCATTCCCACACATGCCTGGATCACTTTACCACCTTCTTACCTACACTTCCCTGTCTAACTTCTCATAAATCCTGGAAATCAAGAACGTAATTCCTCAGGTCATCTTATTAAAAAAAAATTACAAATACACTTTTATTTTCTGCTGAAAAAAGCTCCTCTGGTTTACCTTTGCTTATAAAGGAAAAATAGGAGATTTGACTCCAACATAACCTCCCCAGCCTCACAAGACTACCACCCACATATTTTTTTATTCCAGGCATGTCTAAAACTGATGGCTCCAGAATCATACTGTGTATCACATTCTGTGACTCTGCACTTGATGCTCCCTTTGCCTGGTAAAATTCTGGGTGTCCCTCAAGCCCTAGCTTGTCATTTCTTGAAGAAGTCTTCCTAAACCTTCAGAGACTGAGTTGTTTTATATTTGCATGTAACATTATCTTGCCAGCAGAGGTGAAATTAGTATAACTGTTCCCAGAATGGACTGCCAGCTATGGAGACGTACAAACTAAGTAATCTTAGACATTATCACCCCACCACCCCTAGGCCTGAGTTACCTGTCTATAATACAGGATAAGAATTCGATACCGAAACTGTTATGAAGACTAAATATTAACAAGGACTTAGTAGATATGGCAATAATAAAATTCATGTTAGGCAATAGTTTTGAATGTAAGCTGTGTGAGTCAATCTCTGAGCTACCTATAGTAAATATATACCTTTGTTATCCGTGTATCTCTTATTGCTTAACATCTAGCCCAAGAGCATACAGAATTTCTTGGAAAATAAGGGGTTTAGGAATCACCATGACAATGGGAGGATGCACTGCATCAGGTTAGAGAACCTTTAAGGAACATCAAGGTATCTCATACTGCGATGAAATCAGGCCAGATACTCTCCTGTATCCATCAGCTCTAAACTGATTATTACTCTAATGCTCTGGCTCACCATGTCGACTTTTATTGCAATTTTTTCTTGGCTTCTTTTAGACTTGGGATTATTACTTTCCGGAGCGTAGGCTTGCGCTAATTTAAATGACTTTTAAACTAATCATTAGATTTAAAAAGCAATTTTGCAATTTAAATCCAAGGTAGTTAATTGACTTCCTACCTCAAGGCACTAAATTATCCTGAAACAGCTCATCAGACCTACCAGTCCTTACAAGAGCAGCAGCAAGTGTTACAGTTGTGTTTGGAACTCACACTGATGATTTAGAACACGTTAGGCTAAAGGGTGGATATCCTCGACTGCAGGCAACGCTCAGTATCCATACAGGGCTGTGTGTATGGTACATTCTTAAACCGATGTCCATCGCTCCGGCGTGAAAAGCCACCCGTCCCCTAAGGATGAACGTGTGTATGTGTGTGTTGCTGTGGCGCCGCCGCCACGCCTGGCGAGCTCCAGCCTGGCGGGTGGCCTGCTGCGAGTCCCAGCACCAGGGTCACCCGGCATGCAGAGCTGAGACCGTGCACCCATCACTCGGGCTGCAGTCTCGGCGGCCTCCCTCCAGGGAGGGATGGACGAGCACGGTAGACGGGAGGGCAGCGAAAGGGGAACGGACCGAGGGACTGCGAGCGAGGTGGGTCGATTCTTCACAGGGCTTGGCGCGCCCTGGGTTTTGAGGGGCAGGACCTTGCACCAACCTCCACAAAGGCATCAGTCAGGTCACTAGCACGGTCCATCACCGGCAAATGGCGCCCGGCCACGATTTTCACCTTCAGCTTCCCGGGCATCGTCTCGGCTTCGGCCTCTCCTAGGGCTCCTGCAGAAACAAACAAGCGCGTCTGCGCCGGGCATACGCGCGAGTGCGGGCGGGGGGAGGCGCGGGGCCGCGCGGAGAGCAGCGCGCGGCCGGAGCGCGCTGGTAACTGACAGCAGGGGGCGCGCGCAGGCGCGCACGGGCCGACGCGGGGACGCACTCACTGTCGGAGGAAATTGGGGGTCGTCCCTCGCGGGTACTGAGGCCTCATTCCGAAAAGGCAGACAGAGGAGGGGCGCAGGTGGATTCTGCTACGCCAGCCCCACAGTGATGGAAAGAGAAGCGAAACCCAATCAGCATCCCGTTGAGCCTGGGCTGCGCCTACATGTGGCCCTCCTCCCGCCCCCAGAAAGATGGCGGCCTTCGGACGTGGAGGAAGCATCGATCGTTCGGCGCTCTGCCTGCTAGGCAGGGGAGAAAGTAAACTGGTCCAGGAGAGACGAAGAGGGCGGGGCCGGCGTCGGGGAAGCGGGAGAACAGGGAAGTGGATGGAGTCCTGCATCATCCACCGAGGGGAGGGTCGGGGCGGCTGCGCGGTTGGAGAGCAGTTGGCGGTAGCCTGCTGCGGTTCAGTGACTTAACCGCCTTCCGAATTGCAGGCGACGGACACATTTTGAAAAGGCTGTGACAGAGATAGCTGCAGCCTAGACTAGGGGAGGTGTCTTCCTTGAAACAGCTATTAATAGTTCGTAAAGCCAATCTAGTAGGTTTCTACCTGGAAGGGTTACTGATGCGTGTGTTAGCTTTTTTTTTTTTTTTCTGTGAAAAGAATACGAAATATCAGAGCCTTGGCGAGTAGTGAATAATTATCTCCTGAAACGTTTAATTTGGCACTATGCACCTGTACTGTGTCCTGGCTCACAGATGTTACTATGGGTGGACCTGTTCATCTCTACTAAATATTAAGAATCGACATGTGGAAGCACCATTTATTAAAGAGGCTATCTTTCCTCGCCTTTGTCAAAGATAAAATAGCTGAATTTGCCTGGAATTGTTTCTAGTTCCTCTGTTCTGTTTGTGCTTCTGCAAATGGGAAGGGACCAAGAGTTGAAAAGAGCAAAGAAGGAGAAGGAGGAAAGAGAAGATGTGTTAGGTATATGTACAATCCTCATGACAGCTCTAATCAATACATACTGCGAACGCGTACTGATTTTTTTAAAAAACAAGATCAATAGTGTTGGTAGAAATTCAGGACCTTCTGTAGGAAAACATGATTTTTTCAGAACCCAAAAGCCTATCACAACCCAAAGAGCAACAACATTGTCAAGAATCGACTATGTAATGTGTGTGTGTGTGTGTGTGTGTGTGTGTGTGTGTGTAAGTCCAGACTAGGGAAATTGAAGCACACACAGAGGTTGTGACAAAAGTCACTGCATTCCAAATATCAAACTAACCTTAGTATACTGCGTAGCAAACACCAAAATCACTGTTCCAAATTCTGGTGGAAAGATTATTGCGTCAGAAAAAGAGCTTTCCTAAGCTATCAGCATGATGTTTTTTAACTTAAGAAATATGTACTCAACAAGGCAGATTAAGTACTTTAAGCAGAAGTGATCCAGAAATAATCTTTACAAGGCAAACATTCTGCCTACGTAAAGAATACTGTTCTTGTAAGTAAAACATTGAACTCTTCCAAAGAGGAATGAAAATGACCCGCTTGAAATAAAAATCTAAAGGATAAAATGCTGACTTTTTGGACCAAGGAACCCATTATCCATTTTGAACTCTGCCAAAGGGTGCAGTTTCCAAGCAAATATCCTTAGATTCACCTCTTAACTTTTTCTGGAGTCTGATTACTCTCAAAATGCCTTTGCCAGATTCTGAAAATCTGCTGTCCACTCTAGGATCACTGTTTTTTGTTATTTTGATGGTAGGGTTGGAATAGGGATCCCACACCCCACCCTGGTGCTAGGGATGAAACCCAAGACCTCAGATTGCTAGGGAAGCACTTTTAAAACTTAGCTGTATCCCAGCTTAAGAAATAGCTTTTTCTAATGAACTCAAAGTATTACCGTATTACGAGATCATCTTTGAAAATACAGACACAGGAAGCCAGGTATGGTGGTGCACATCTGTGCTGCCAGTACCATATTTGGGAGGCTAAGGCAGGAGGATCACAGCAATTTCTAGTACAACCTGCACTGCATACTAAGTTCCAGGCCAGCCTGCGCTCCATGGGGCCCTGTCTCCAAAAAAAAAAAAAAAATAGTAATAAAAATAAAGATGAGACAAAATACTAGAAAACGGAACTCCAGCCTTAATATTAATGGAAAATAATGCATTGTTATTACAGGATGTGGTAAGGCAAAAAATATTTGCAATTTGCACAATTAGCCGTAGCAGGTTCAGTCTCCTAATTAGTAGACTCTGAGGTACTTGTACATACCTGTCACCCTCGCTTCATCAGCAGAAGATTATAATTAAGATGCTTCCTGAAGACCATTTTTTAGTGGAATTAACCCTAACTTCAGTTTGACTGCTTCCTAATAATCACACTATTTTGTTTTAATTAATCCTGGGAACAGTGTTGACTTTGCTGATAAATCTGTCATGATTTGGCCCCTGATTAGCTTCTTTAGCTTCATAGCCTGACTTCATAGCCTTCATTTTGCATTTTTAATACAATAATAACAAGAGTTTACATGTATTGTTTGCTTTGCACCAGATCTCTGAATTGAGACCTTTACAGCTTTTAAGACTTCCTGAAGTCTATGGGAAAAAAATTAACAGCTTTTTTTAAAACAGTGCCAGCGATTGAGTCTTCATTTTATAGATAAATTAATTGTAGCTTTGCAAAGCAGTGGTGATTATCCAGAGTCACAGAATTGGTAATAAGAGATGCAAGATTTAAAATCTAGGCAAAGATTTTAAGAACCCTTGTTCTTTAAAGGCTACATGTAGTTTTCCAATGAACTATAATCTCTGCCTGGAGTAGCTTTCTTATAGTCACTTTAGCAAACACTTAACTCAGCTTACTGTATACAAAAATCCCTTCCATGGCTTCCAAATAAGCCTGCTCTCCCCTTCTGTCTTCACCTCAACTAAATCTATCCTGTCTATTGTTGCACCTCCCGTGCAGTAATTCTCTGGCCTCTCCCCTCTTATCTCTGTTCTTTGCCCAGGGTCCTTCATGCAATCAACAAATGCTCGTGGAATTAATCTAAGTAAAAATTAACACCATGCTATTGCTACTTTGCTCTTTCTTCTTTTCAGGCTTTGCAAATTATTTTAAATCCTCCCCGCTATCTCGCTTCAAGGTTAAACTTTTCAAGGATTCTGTACTTGGTATTTTCTCTCCCACTCCCAGACACGCTTAGACTGTTTATATTCATGGTTAGCCACCACAACTACCAAAAGAACTGACAAATGCCATAGTAACCTCTGAACACTAAACCCAGTGAACATTTTTCACTTTTTCCTTTGCATAACTCTCAAGAGCATAAAAACACCGTTAATTACACATGCCTTAAAATACTCCTAGTGTTCAGACTCCTTTCTCCTCATACCCATTCTGATAAGTCCATCAGCCTTTGCAGTTATTCTTAACTATTAAATATGTGTTCTTTGAAGTTTATTTTTCGGATCTTTTCTACCTGTATCCTGCCCCTAAGTGCTGTCATCATGCCCATACTTTGTCATATTTTTAGCTTCTTCCTGTAATGGGGTTGTCTTAATCCTGTTTTTCTTTGGCAAATCAGAGAAACCTCAAAGTTAGAGTGTTAAGGGCTGGGAATATAGTTCAGAGCACAAGTGCCTGCAAAGTTGTACCAAAAAAAAAAAAAAAACGTTGAGAATTAATTTTCTTTACCTTCCCTACAGCTGCAATAACTGCAGACACTGTAATAGTACAACAAAAGTGACAACAAAGCTTATTCTTCTGTGTTTTTCATCCCAAATAGTAGAAACACCATCTATCTAGTCAACTGTGCAAGCCAGAAGCAACAAAAGTCCAGTTCAAAGTCCCCTCACTCTTTTTTGTTTGTTTGTTTTGACTGCTGTGAATCAAATCTAGGTCCTTGTGTTTGCTAGCCCGTCACTTCACCACTGAGACACATTCTTCAGCCCCAGTTCAGTTACTTCTGCTTTGGTTTATTTCTAAAGCAGTGTGTCAGCTATGTGAAGCGTAAAACTGAGGTGGTTAGGTAGGTGGACTGATCTCATTGGTCCCCTGTCTCCTGGAGGCAGGTCTAAGGCATAATCCGCACAGAAACCATCCTTGTAGTCTCCAGATAAAGTTCATTAAAGTGGAACGTGTCACTTAGTCAGTGCCCACCAGTGCACCGGGTGAACCACAGTACCCAACTGTAATGGGCCAGCACCAGCACACGCTTCCCTTGTTAGTGGGTATATTACAAGCCTAGAGGCCTTCCACTGATGTCTGCCTAAGGGCTGTGGGGAAACCCTGGCCACAGTTGATGGTTATCTTTGACTTTCTCACCTCTGACACCCAAGTAGTCATCAAGCATTATTGTTTATAATTCCTAAAGATCTCTGTGAGCCATCTACTGGAAGACTGCTGTCCCCACTTGGCTCTTCCAGTCCTGTAACCCATTCACCACAAAACAGCTCAAGAGAACTTTTTAAATTGCAAATGTGTGTCACTCTCTTTTTTAATTCCTCTGCCAAGACTCAATGGATAGTCCCTTTTCTTTTCAGACCTTGCTTGTAAAAGAACATTTTAAAAAAATATTCAGCACTTAATGTAAACGCCAGGTAGAAATGGGTTTTTATTTCATTTTTGCCTTTTGGAGTCTGTTTAAAGTCAAACTCTGGCTTCTCATCATGTGTCGACTTGTCACCTATTATAGTATTTTCCTCCA